TCGGCGGCTCTCACCTCTCCATGAAGAGCGGCAACTGCTCCTGAAACACCTCGTGGGTGGCCTGGACATCGCGGGCACAGTACGACATCAGGTCCTGGGGGCAGAGGCAGGTGAGAGCAGGTAAAGAAGCCACCTCTCTGCCAGCACAGAGCAAGGCACCCGGGGCTGCGGGAGGACGGGGGACTTCACAGCCCCACGCACACCCAAAGCCCTCGCAAGAAAGGGCAGCAAAATGGAAACTACCCCGGCAGCTGCTCCCATCCCGCTCCCATTTCCAGCTCCTGCTGCCCATCGGGATGTTGGGATCACCGCCCGCACCTGGAAGTGACTCCTGATGTCGGCCATGGTCCCCTTGACAAAGAGCTCCCGCGCCTCCTTCTCCAGCGGCTCCCCCCCGACGTACAGCGCGTGCACGTCCGCCAGGTTGTTGATGCTGCTGACGTGCACCCAGTCCCACGAAGTGACCTGCGAACAACCGGGGGGTCAGATGGTGCGGGACAAGGTCGGGCTGCGGCCGAGATCAGGAGGGGTAAAGGATGCTGCTGCTCCGTTTTAAACTAAGGGCACCTCATCTGGAAGGCACTGGTAGAGCTTCACCCAGCAAGCTGCTCCAACAGCTCCTGCTCTGCCAGTATAGATGGTCCCAGTACAGGAGCAAACGGTCCCCTGCCACCCACACCACTGCCAACGGCTCAGCTCCCTTACTCACAGCTGGCCCCTCCGTTTTGCTGCGCGTTTTCTTAATGTGCTCCTTGACCTGCTGCAGCCCCTTCCTCTTGCCGTGCTTGGCAGCCATCCAGAGGCTGCGCTGGAAGCCCGTCAGCCCCGAGATGGCCATGTGCATGCTCATGGTGTCCAGGAAACGCACCCGGGAGCCCTGGGACACATCGGGGAAGAGAGAAGAGGTGGTTTGGGATGTGCTGGAGGAGAAACATGCTGCCAAGTGTCCTGTAGCTGCCAGCAAGCACCGCCTCATGTTACAGAGCTGCGAGTCCTCTGCTCAGGCTGTTTTTGCCAATGCAAAGCTTTGCCTCCCGGCACCCCTCTTCTGAGAGCCGAGAGCATCCCCAGCGCAGGCCGTCAGCTGCCCAAAGGCTCCTGCCACGTCCCCAGCTGCAACCCTGCAGCCTCCAGCAACCTTACGGGGTGCAAGAATATCTCCCTCTAAAGGGATCCAATCTCAACCCATTCTGCAGGACGAGGTGAGCACAACCCTAGGGTATCTGTGCAGAACAGCGCCTGCCAAAATAACCCTGAAATGCCAGCGCAAATGACTACCCAGGGGTAACGAACCGCAGCTGCTGGCGTAAAGCAATGGCACTATGGATTACCTGGATGAGGTACTGCTCCTTGATGAACGCCCGGTCGAAGGCCACGTTGTGCCCTACCACCACTCTCTCTGGCCAGTCCCCAGCCGCTTGCTGCACCACGAGTACCTGCGGATGACATGCGGCACCCCACAGCTGTAAAAAATAAAGTAGGGGCTCCCAGGACCAAAAGCACCTGCTGTGCCATGGGGTGCTGAGCAAGGATCCCACCTGTGGGAGGGAGGTGACTGACCCCGGGGAGCGCTGCGCTCGCTAACCGGGACAGACGTCCCACATCCCAGAGCCGCGCTTCGGGGCTTTGCTGTTTCCCCGGCAAGCCGGCGGTGGTTTGCAGGAAGAGGCTCCGCTCGGGAGCATCCCCCATCCTTCCCAAAGCTGTCCCCCCCACCACCGCG